AAACATTCTCCTAAGTTGAAAAAAAAAAAAAGTTGAAAAACAAATACATATATATATAGTATTGCTTCAATAATAGATCTAAATATACCATATATTCCTTTTTTAAAAAAAAAAAAAAAAATTATGATTAAACTATTGATGAATTATAATGCAAAAATTTGAAAAATCTCTTATTGAATGCATTCTTCATTTTCAAAAATCTATAAAAGAATTTTTTAATTTCAATTTTGAATTTTTTTCTTTTGTTTAAATTTTAGGTTGATGGTAATGTTGCAACTGTAATACCAATACAAATAGGCACAATACCATGTTTAGCTGCATTATTTCAACGAAATTTAAATGGTAAAAAAGAAATTGATGACGATGATGCTGATGATGATGATGATGATGATAATGATGATGATAATAATGATAACGATGGAAAGAGTAGAATAAATGGTGATATTAAAATTAGTGAATCATCATCGATGCTTCCAAGTAATAAACCAAAGATACAGGTTACAGTTAAAAAATTTTTAAAAAAAAAGAAAAAAACTTTTTTTTTTTGTTCAATAATATGTGATTTTAATACTTTCATAGATTAAAAGTATAGTAATAATTATTTTAATATAATTTTTCAAACCATAAATAATGCTATAAATCAATTAATTATTTTCATTATGTGATAATTTTTATTTGAATTTTTTTAATTTTTATTTAATATTTTCTGAGCATTTATTTATAACTTTTTTTGCTAACATTAGCACTGATAATTAATAATAATATTAATAATAGCACTTCAAAATTAATTGCTGCTTTTCAAAATTAATTATTATTACTATTATTATTGTTTCTTATTTATTTTTTCTTTTAATATTTATTTTTATTGCTAGCTAATACTCTTTGAGTAGTAATGATTCTTAAGCTAAAAAAAAAAAAATTAAAATTTAAAAAAATAATTTTTTCTTTTCTGCTAGGTTACAATAACAACTGAAAATGGCCAAACATTGGATAATACAAGTGAAACTGATGAATTAAGCCCAGACATGGAGCTAATGTTATTGTCCAAGAAACGTGTACGTATACCAAGTTCCATTCTCAGTGAACTTTACCCAAAACTTCCAAATCCATATTACAGGTTAATTTAATTTTTGCAATATTTTTATTCTTTAAATACTTTCATTTTAATGAATTTAACAAAATACACTTTTATTTTTTTTCTTTTAATAAAGTGAATAAATTAAGTTAAATTTTAAGAAGAAAAAAATATTTGCTTAGAATTTGTTTTTTGTTTTCTATTTATCTTTTTTATTTATAAAATTGAATGTTTGTTTAAGAAATCTGAATGTTTATTGAAATTCAATTATCAATAATTTCCATCATTTTTGTTTTTTTTAAAACATGATTAATTTGATCTTTTTTTTTTTTAATTTATGCTATTTTCCAACTTTCCAACATTTTATTTATTGTTTTAAAATGATCAAATCAATTAATTTATTCAAACGAAATAAAATATTAAGAAATTCAAAAAATTATTTCTGCAAATTATTTGCAAATAATAATAATAATTTTTTTTTTTTTTTGATAACATTATTTTTTTTTGATAACATTTTTTTTTTGATAACGTTACTGATTTATTGCAATTATTTATTTATTTTTTTAAAATGACATTCTAATTTTACCATGAAATGATAGAATTCTGTTTTTTTTTTTTTTGAAATGATTATTGCACATAAATTTTAGTTGATAATTATGATAGAAATTTACTTGGAACTTTGTAATTTAAATAAATTTAATTACAGTTTAGCAATAAATTGCAGACAATCACTTTTTGGTGAAGTGGACATATCAGAAGATCAAGAACATGTACAGTATGGTGATACTAAATTTGCTCCTAAATATCCATTTTATACGGATTAAATTAAAATTATTACTTTGTTTTTCTTTTTTTTTTTTTATTCTTACTTTTTGTCTATTTCAAATTATTTGGTAAATTAAAATTTTTTTTTTTTTAATTTATACTATTAATATGTTCATATGATAAGAAGAAATAGTTGAATTAGATGAAATTTTAATAGCATTTTCCTTTTTCATAATGTAATTTTTCATTCTTTTTTTTCTTTCAAAATTTAAATTTTAACATTTCGGCAAAAAAAAAAACCAAAATTTTTCTTTTTTTTTTTTAAAAAAAAAAAAATAAAATTCTAACAAAAAGAAAGAAAAAATTTTCTATGACAAAAATATTACAAATTGATTTTATTATTCCATTTTGATTGAATATAAAGATAAAAAAAAGAGAGAAGAAAGAAAAATTTTATGTTTCAAAAAAAAAAAATTCCATTCTTTATTTTTGAATAAATATGAAAATAATTTCCGGAAGAATAATAAATAATCTTACCGGATTAATTATTATGTCATTTTGTTGCACATTTCGTATTCATACAATTTTATGCTCTAATATTATTACGATCATATGCAATAATTTCAATTATTTCTTACTAATCCTAATTTCAAATTTAACTAAATTAATTCATTAATGTGAAAAATAATTTTTTTTGTAACATTTCAAATATTTAGAAAACTTTTTTTTTTTTTATTCCCAAAAAATTTTCAAATTCATTTCATTTTTCTTTTTTTTTTTTTTTAACTTAAAAAAATTCTTTTCTTTGCTCAATTGCTCAATGAATTATTTGTTATTTACTAGGAATTTAATTATAAAAAAGTTACAAAAAACTGAAACTCATATTTTGTAGTAATTTTTTTTTTTTTTTTGGTAATTTAAAAATTGTTTAATTATAATTATGCCATCAATCAAAAATGCCTACTGTTATTGCTATGTTAATTTGTGAAGCTATGCGTTTAAATTGTCATTTCAAAGTGTCACCATTAATGTCTAAATTTTGTCTAAAAAATTTAAAAATATGCTGGAAAAAAAAAATTAATTCTTTTGCCTCCTACTTTTCATAAATTCTTTATTAATTTTTAATTTAATTTTTAATAATTTTTAATTTTTATTTTCATTTGATAATAGAAATTCTAATTTTCATTTTGATTTTATAAAAATTTCTTTCAAATTATTTCAAATAGGCATCAAATGATTTAATTTTTATCTTTGTTATTAATAGAAAATCCTTTGGATTTCTTCTTTTTCATTTTTTTTTTTTCATTTAATTTATTAAAGCAGCAAAAATTATTTAGCATTGGTTTTTAATTGTTGTATAATTTCAGTGAATCTTTTTTTTTTTTAAATTCAGAATATTAAATATATTTTCAATATCAAATTTAGATTTACTTGCTGAAATAAAAATTAACGAAAACATTAATCGAAATGAAAGATAAACAAGAAAATAAATATTTGTTACTTTGCAATTATCATTTTTTTTTTTTACAATTGCTTTGCTGTTAATTAATATTAATTAATAAAAATTAGTATTCATAAATTTCCGTTATTTTTTATTCATAAAAAAAATGAATAAATTTTAAAAGTTAATGAAATTTGAGCAGTAATTTTATCTTTTAGGTGTAGTTATGATATTATTACTTAATTAAGCCAGTGAAAATTACTAATTCCGTAAACAAATCAATAATTTAGTAAATCAGTTTTCCTGATTCGTATCAAGAAATGCAGTAAAAGCTTCCTTTGCTTATTTCATTGTTAAATCAAATTTATTAAATTTAATAAATCAAATGAGAATATCTATGCAGTTACTGCAGTAAAAGTTAATTTTTACAAACATTTGAAATCAATTTGAAATCAATTATATAAGAAAATAAATTTTATAAATGCATTACCATAATCGTTTTTTGATTTTGTTTTGCATTAAATTTTGAAATGTTTGATATAAAATTTTTGTTTTTTGATTTTACTTTAAAGAAAAAAAAAATTGTTTCAAATTTTGAATAACAAAAATAAAGTTTAGTTTAAATGTTTCACAGCTCAGCACAAATATATGCGTATAATTTTAATTAAATTTCTTATGTTTGATATTAATTAATAATGGAGTTTAATTTTTATTATTTCTGATTTTTGTTGAAACATTGAAAATATATCAATCCTTTAACTTACAATACGATATTATTATCTGAGTAAAGGGAAAATAACGAAAGTATCAAAATGATTAAATCATTAATGCATTCAATTTTAAAGAAATCAATAATAATTAAATAAAATATTTAATTTTAGAATTTTGCTTGCACTAAGAATTTTACAAATTTATGCTGAAAATTTGTGTTATTTACTTTTTCTTTCATTTTTCCATATGAAAAAAAAAAAAAAAGAAGCACACTTTTTCAAAAAAAAAAAAAAAAAATCAAAACATCTGAGTCACTTTTGAATAAAAAAATTAGTAAATGTATAATTTTAAAATGAATGTAAATAAAATAATTTAATTCAGTTTGCCATTAAATTTCAAGCTAAACTAAAGTAAATTGACAATTAATTAAAATTAAAAAAACATTTTTACTTTTCAATGATAGAAAAAATTATGTTTAGTTTTTAGTAAGGAAAAAAGAAAGAGAAAAGCGAAATTTGAAGGAGACATTATCATGCAAATTCCTTAACTAATCAAGTCAATAGCGCTTTTCTTGCGAGTAGCACTCGCAATATGCGCGACTCCTTTCTGCGACATTATGCGACCCGTTGCCATGGTGAACTATCAATAGTCACTCTTACTTTAGCTGTTACTACCTTTCATAAAGTATATAATTTGTTGATAATTATAAAATAACGATTGTTATAGATAAAGTTATATTTATTCATTGTTAAGCGCAATAGTCTTGCGGATATTGCGCTTATAATTATGAGATTGAGTAAAATGAAATTAAGTAAAAATTAAAAAAATAAAAAAAAAAAAAAACTTGGCTGCTTGTTAAAGATAACTTTTAAAAGTTGTATACGTTTAATTGATCTATTTAAATTTGATAAAATTATCATTTAGCCATTCCAAAAAATAATAATAATAATTCACGGAAATTTATTCTATTTATAGGATGCAAATGTGGTAATGAATTGAAAATTAAAAATGCCATTGATTAGCATTAGGCAAGATCGTGACATACGATTCGATATAAATCCACGGTATTGATTAATTATTGCTTGACTAATTTAATTTTATTTACTTTTTATCAAATCAAGAAGAGTTCATTGATAAGTAATATAATCTAATTATTATTATCAGTAATCTTATCATTTTGATAATCTAATAAACTAAAAAACCTAAAATTTTGATAAATAACTATTAGAAAAAAAAAGAAAATAGTAATGATTATAGATTATTACAACTAATTTCTGGTGAACATCTTGTGGAACGTATTGATGGTGTTGAAGATACGAAAGGAAATTGTGGTGATAAGGGTATTCTTCGAATAACAAATTTAAGACTTACATGGCATGCAACCGCTATACCACGTATTAATTTAAGTCTCGGGTAAATCTCAATAAACATTCATTATTTGCATTAATGAATCAATTTTTCTTCTTTCTTCTATTAAACAAATTGATTAACTTATTATACATTTATCAGATTTATATTATCAAATATTTAATAAAATTAAATAAAAAAATTTTTATAAAAATATATAATAAAAATAATATATGATAATTAAACTTAAATTCTTTGTCATAAATTAGCACTTATTATTTTTTTTAGATATAATACAATAAATGGTGTAACAACAAGATTTACAAAATCAAGACTTCGTGGACAGACTGAATCACTTTACATTTTAGCGCATCATGCAAATGCTCGATTTGAATTCATCTTCACCTGCATTAATCCTTCACAAGTGTGTGTGTGTGTTTTTTTTTTTATTTATTTAACTTTTTTTTGTTATTTAATTTAATTTATTTTTTTTTATTATTATTTTTTTTAGTTTTTATTTTTTTTTATTTTTTTATTATTTAAAATTGTTGGTGCAAATTTTTTCTAAAAAATAATCTTTTGTTTTTTTTTTTTTTTTTGTTTTTTATTCATTATTTTATAAATAATTAATTTGCTCTTTTTCATTTAACTTACTTACAAGTAATCATCAACAAATATCATTTAATATCTTAGACAAAACATTTTACAACAGTAATATCAATTCATCGAGCATATGAAACTTCGAAGCTTTATCGAGAGTTAAAAATGCGTGGTGCATTAGTGAATGATGATGAGAAACTTCGAATTTTACCAGATGAACAGCAATGTGATCGTTTTGATGGTGTATGGAATTTAGGTAGTGATCAGGTAAATGGTATTTAGTTATAATTTAATTTAATTTATTAGAAAAAATAAAGTTATATTTTAATTATTGAAAAATTTTTTAAAGAAAAAAAAAAAAAAAAACATTGACACATATATTTTTATTATCATAGAAAATTATAGAAATTTTTGTATGATTGTTTTCTTGTTGTATAAATTTGATGAATGTTTCTTTTTTTTTTTTTTTTTTTGTTTATTTGTTTATTTATAATTTATTCATTTAGGGAACACTTGGTATTATGATACTTACTAATATTCGTATTGTATGGTTTGCAGCAACAAATACAATGTATAACGTAAGTATACCATATTTACAAGTGCAGGATTGTCGTATACGTCATTCACGTTTTGGTCTTGTTTTGGTCATTGAAACTTCAGCTGTTGTAAGTTTGAAAGAAGAAGTTACTGGTTTTATTTACAAAATAGTTTATTCAAATATATTTTTATATAATTTATTCTAATTAAAAATTCTAATTAGAAATTTTAGTAATACTTACTCTTAGTTTAGGTGTAATTTCTAAGACTTTATTATTATCTTAAACAATATTATTACTTTCAATATTTTCCGGATTATTTTTCTGGTTTTTTTTTTTTTTTCTTTTTTTTTCTATCAAAACTGATGAAAAAAAATTGCCAAATCAGATTGTGAACATGAATTGTACTCGTTTTTTATAGAATCGAGAATATGTGCTTGGTTTTCGTACTGATCCAGAAGAACAACTGAAAAGTATTCATCAAACAATATGTGCACTTCAAAAAGCTTATGTAATAAAACCTATTTTTGGTGTGCAATACATTCGAGAAAAACCGGTAGAATTATTTATGCAAATTTCAACTATTATTATTTTAAAAATTCTCCAAATTTCATACTTATACGTATTGAAGAATGAAAAGTGAAAATAATAAAAGATTATTTTTGAAATTAGTAAAAAAAAAAAAAAAAAAAAAAATTACAGACTAATTCTCAAGATACAACTGATGTGATGAAATTAATGGATGAAGATGTAGAACTTGATGATCGACCACTTCGATCTGATCCATATGCTGTATAAGTTTAATTTTAATATCAAAAATTAAATTTAATATCGAATTGATAATAATACTTCTTCTTTTAAGTCAATTTTAATTAATACAAACAAATATGCAAATAATTAAAACTTGCTGTATAATTTTAATATCAAAAATTAAATTTAATATCGAATTGATAATAATACTTCCTTTAAGTCAATTTTAATTAATACAAACAAATATGCAAATAATTAAAACTTGCTTATAATTTTAATTTTAATATCAAAAATTAAATTTAGTATCGAATTAATATTAATACTTCTTTTAAGTCAATTTTAATTAATACAAACAAATATGCAAATGATAATTTTACAGGCTTATTTTTCGGATGGCATTGTTAGTGGACAAATTCGACCACCAGTTTACTCGGAAGAACTTGGCGTAGCAGTTGAAGAACTTAAACCAGGATTCACTCTTACTGATCTGTGGAAAATTCATGTTGATTAAAGAAAAAAGAAAATTCGAAATTTATAAAAGTTTAAAAATGTCATCCAAAACAAAATGGTTATTGACGACAAATATTTGTACTAATTTAAAAATAAAGCATTTTTTTTCTTCATTTTCCTCTTCAATTCATCTAAATATGTTATTTTAAATTAATTTCATTTTATATTCACATTTAAAAATTTTTAATAACATCATATTAATGCAAAATTTTAGAACGATGTTAACTTCAGAAGATTAATACATTTGCGCCTGGCGTTTTTTTCAAATAACTGAACAAAATGATTGCATAATTAAGCGGAAGCAAATAAAACTTTAACTATTTCTTTAAATTTCATTGTTTAAATTTAGTGGAAATCAATTGAATCACATTTTGTAGTAATACTAAAGCAATATTTCTCCGCCAATTTCTTTTATTCAAGAAGTAAATTATACTTTCTTAATGCACACCATTAGTAATTTCAGTAATTCCGGATAGCATTTCTAAACTTCTATATTTCCGATTTTTTTTTTCTTTTTTTTTTTTGACAAATATTTTGTCAGTGTAAAATTTTACAAATTTATATTTTAACTGAAAATTTTTGATATTTTACAAATTAAAATTATTCGTTATTACTGAAATACATAATTGCATTTTAGCTATTGTAATACGAATAATAATGAATTATCATATAAAATTCATAAATGCTTTCTTCTCCTATATTAGATGATTAAAATTAATCACTGATAATTGATTAATGATAAATAATCAAAAAAAAAAATTTTTTTTTTCTCTTTCTTCATTAATAATTATAGAAATTTTTTAAGAAAAGAAAAATCTTATCAGTATTTAACACAAATCTAATCAAAGTTTTATCTATAAGAATTTTATCACTATCAAAGTTCTTATTAATACCAAAATTTTTATCAGCAATAATGATAATATATAAAGCAAAATTTTCAGTGAGAAAATTTTCTTATAAATAATTTCTATTTTTATTTATTGATTGTTCTTTTAATTTTTTCTTTCTTCAGTTGGAAAAGCAAAAGTTTGCACTGCCATTTTATGTTTGCCTTTTTTTTTTTTTTTTTTTTAAATTTATTTTTAGGAAAAAATGGAAAAAATGATAGCGTTATGTATTGATCAGATATTCTTTTCTTTTTTATTATTATTATTATTATTTTGCAATAAATTATCGAATTTTATTTGTGAAAAAATTCGGCAAAAAAATTTGAGAAATCTGAAATAAATTTTACGAAACATTGACAGATTAATTTGCCGAAAATGTGATTTATCTTAAAATACATTTTTATTTTTAATTTTTTTTTTTTTTTTTTTTTTTGCAACAATTTATCAAATTTCATTCGCTGAAAAAATCTATAAAAATGTAAGAAACTGAAACAAAAATTTACAAAAACATTGATGGATGAATTACTTTTTTAAATACATTTTTACTTTTTTTTTTTTTTTTTTTACATTTTTAAAAATTGATTAAAGGGAGTGAAAAAAATTTATTCGTTTTTCGTTTCTTTTTTATTCAATTTTCCACATTTTTTTCTTCATCTTTCTATTTATGCAATATTACATTTTATAGACTATACGATATCCATCATTTTTTTATTAAAGAACATCTGGATTTTATTTTTAGGTCATTTGAAATACTCATTAATTTGTTAATTTGAGAAAAAAAAAATCAGATAAGAAAAGTGCAACTATGTATATTCTAATAGTTGGAAGAATTAATGTGAACAAACAGGTAAAAATGTTGAAAATTTCCCGAGAAATCGTGAAATTAGGTAATCGTTGGAAAATGTTACAATGATAACATAATGAAATGATGTTTTTATTTTTAACTTTTCAATAAAAATTTTAGTGCAATTTCGATTTAATATGACAATTCCTTGCTTCCTTCTCTGCTTTGCATAGATTATCGCATCTAATTTAGTAGCCAGGAGCAAGACGAGCTGGTGGACAATGGTCACAACTTCCAGGTGCACCTCAAATAGAAAATGAATGCTTACTATTGAATATAAGTAGTTCAAAAGAGTAATTCTAAAATTAGAATTAAGGAAAAAATGATTTAAAAATGTATCAGAACGGATGTTTCTAAATTAAGTTTTAATATTAGCACTTGATGGAATTAAAAAGCATACCAGGTTCTCCAGGTGGTCCAACAGGTCCCGGTCGTCCGCTTGGACCTGGCTGTCCCGATTGTCCAGGAGGACCAGGTGGACCTGCTGCGCCAGGTGGACCATCGTCACCGTTTGTACCTGGTGGTCCCATAGGTCCCGGTGGTCCAGGACGTCCTGGAGCACCTGGTCGTCCTGGCGGTCCAACTTCTGTTCTATACATTCCTGGTTCCCCGGGTGGTCCACTTCTTCCAGGCTGTCCTGGTTGACCTGGTTGTCCTGGTGGACCTCTTGGTCCTTGATCTCCCGGTCTACCATCTTCGCCATCCTGACCCGGTGGTCCTGGTGGACCATCAGGTCCAGGTGGTCCCTTAGGACCAGGCTCACCAGGTGGTGAATCGCACGGGCATTGCGGTGGAAATTGGCTTTGAAGTTCAGCGTCAAAAGGTGCAGGTGGTCCAGGTGGTCCAAGTTGGCCAATTTCACCGTCTATTCCAGGTGCGCCATCACGACCTGGTGGTCCCATCGGACCAGGTGGTCCTCGTGAGCATGTGCAACAGTCCCCACTTGCATAGCTTTCCGTAAATGATTCCGGCTTTTGATATGGTTCATCACGAAGCTCTTGATCATGTAATCTTCGCGCCCAGAAATCTGCCATTGTGTCACGTTTTACTTCTCGATGTGCCATCACTATAGGTGCCAATTTTTCGGAATCATGGCGCCCATTAGTCTTAATATCCAAAATTTCCTTCCACATATCTCGAGCTCGAGCCTATAGTTTTAATAATTAAATAAATCATTACTCCATTAAAAAGTTCATAATTATTTTAATATTTCGTATTTTAATTATTCAATATATGAAATTGTTTTTTTTTTTATTTCACAAAAAAAAAAAAAATATTAGAACTTCAAAATTTTAAACATAAAAAAAAAAAAAAAAGAATGAATAATAAATAGAAAACATACGCGACAAAAATCCAGATCAATTTGAACGGATGATTCCAGTGTTTGAACATAACTGATAATTAATGGAAATGTTATCAAAACAGAACATATAGCAAAAGTACTAAAAACAACTGATAAGAAAGCAATTGGTTTCAAACTTTGACAATTATTCTTCTTATCCTCCATTATAATAAATGCAGTACTGATAGTGAATGATAATGACAATAACAGCACTGCTTCGATTGTACAATATCCACCATAAAAATAAACCACCTAAAGATAATAAAGAAGACCTTTTATACTAAACAAGAATTAAAAGGAAGGAAAGAGAGAGAGAGAGAAAGAGAGAGAGAAGAAAAAAGGAGACAAAAAGGGTGACACTACTGGAAAATAACCGGATCAGTTTGGATAATGATTTAATGATAAAGTAGAATGAAGAGGATGCAAGTGAGAAAGAAATAAGAATACATAATTGGATATTTGTTATCGCATCGTTCATTTATCATCAATTTTCAAGTCGTTCCAGTCATTTGAACGTTATGCCTATCGGCAATTTTTACAATCTTTTCTTAATCTATGATTAATCCAATCAATCGATCAATAATAATCAATAAAACCAGCCAATATACATATATACATTGCTGAACAAACATATATGTAAACATTTCAAAACTTTTTTTTTGCTTATTGACTATTTTTTCTTTATGTTTAGATATTAGTTTTTTTTTTATAATTCATTTTCAAATCTCGAAATAATAAAGAAGTTGATAATTTCAACATTAAAATTGCATGTAATTTATTTATTCCTATTCATTTAAGAAAAATTGATATTATTATTTAAACTTTTCCTTAGCTTAACCAAGAAATTTATCATAATGTAGTCATTTACATTATTAACTCATGTTAAACTAGAATCATTCTAAAATGAAATAAACAAAGTAAATTATAATCACTCCAGTATGAAATAAAATTGGAAAGATTGATAACTAATTTAATAAGTAATAATAATAATAATACTAATAACGATATCAATAATAACTAATAATAATAATAATGATAACTAATAACAATAGTAAGAATAAAATAACTACTATTTCAGTGTCATTTTAATCATTACCATTATTAATTTATATTAATTATAACAGATGCCATATCAGATCATTTAAAATGATGATTGGACATTTGATACCACTACTACGGTGAATCTTTTATCTTCTTCAGTTTGTCATCTATTATTATTACCATGATTATTGTTGCGATAAGTTATCCTTCTATCAAATTGATCGAGAAAAGTTATGGGCATTGCTCATCATTCCTTTGAGACAATACCAGGAAATAACAATATAACAAATCTTAAATTTTAATTTTTAATGATTTACCCTTTTTGATACCACATATTATCCCTTATCACTCCATTATCATTACGCTGCTATTTTGTTCTGTAGTAAAATCACACATTAGTCCATAGATCCCTATTTTTTTTTTCAAAAAAAAAAAAAATCTTTTTTTTGAAGCATAATATTTATAGCAAAAGTTCTGGATATCTTGAACAGGAATAAAAAACAGTAAACGAAGGCACACTATACTAATAATAAAGCTAGAATGATAAAACTATCACAACCTCTTATAAATTAAAAGGATAAACTAAGTATGTCAGATGAGACAAAAAGAAACAAAAAGTACGCAATGTGTGAAATGTTATACTACAATAACTTCTGCAAGATTATAAATATGAAATTTAAAATATTAAAGACTACAAAAAACATAAACGATGAAAAATTTGAATATCAAATGCCTATATGGTAATCAAAAATTATCAAATATGCCAAATCTAAATAACAATAACAAAATAAAATACAGGAAAAAAGTAGGAATAAGCAAACTCGAAGCTGTAAACGGATGCTTCTGAAGAAAGATAAATGAATACTAGAAGCATATATAAAACATTTGCTTTATGTAGAAGTGAACTGCTTTGTGCAGCAAATGATAGATAGCATTTAAACACAAAGATTTAAAAAAATAACCTCCTTAATTGAAGTAAACGGTTTTAAAGTCATAAAACTTCAAAAATCCGAGACGGAAAAGTTGTCAACCTTCCAATAACTTATTTCTTTTTGAGACTAACCCATCTTATATCATTATCATTCACTGATCTCATGATTTATTTAATGCAGTTAAAACTCTCTAAAATCATATTTAAAGAGAATAGAAGATAAGAATTTCCACTCTCTATGTTGCAAATAAAGTTGATAAAGTAATCATAATTTTGATAAATTATGGAATTTTGAATAACAGGATAACCTTTAAACTTCCAAACAGTTGTTCATGCATCCGAGATCTAAAAAAATGAAATATTTCACAAAGATTTTGTAAAATTTGCGGGGAATACACCATGAACTCCATCAGATTGCTTTACGCCAAACAACCATCCATCATCCAGAAGATCATCTTCACGAGCTTCTAGCACTGTTATCACTTCACCCGCATCAAACGTAAGTTCATCGGTGTCTTCTGCAGTATAGCGATGTGTTGCCCGAACTTTGTACAAAATCTGAAATATTTAATTCAATCCTATTTTGTCGTACAGTCTTTTTTTTTTCTCTCTTTTTTCTCACTTTACATGATAATAATCTAGTAATTTAACAATAATTTTGCTAGATATATCGTTATATAAGAATACCTTTCGATCAGCATTCACTTCTTGACGAGTGTCACCTTTCTGTGGTGAACGTGGCTCTGGATGCGGTTCATTCCCGTGATTATTTTCATTGAACGGATTTTTTGTATCATCATCATCATCGTCATCAAATGGATTTAGTGAGGCTTTCGAACCCTTTTCACCAGTGCCATTACCAACAGTTGATTTCTCCGATGATTTTTTATCATTTCTCTCCTCACTATTACCACCATTACCGACAACTGCAGCAGGTGGTTCGTCAGTCAAACTCTGAAAAAATAATAACCATTATCAGTAGAATTTAATTTAATCTCAAAAAAGTTAGAAAAGAAAAAATATAGTAATAGGATATTTTACAAAAAACTCGAACAATAGTAAAACATTTCCAAATAATTCTACGAAAAATTCCACTTTTTGGTAGCAATTAATAATACTATTATATATTAACTAATAAATTTGACAAATTTGAACTTGCCGGATATACTTTTTTTTCCGCATTTTCATCATTACGCTCAGAATCAGGTCTGGTCAGGATTGCTTCGGTTGAAACATGAGGACATATTGGTTGAGGCTCTCGTATTGGCATGTCCGATTTTTGTGATGGTAAACCTTCAGTTGGAATTGATTGTTCATCAATTGGAGTATGTACTACCGATTGATCTGATGCATTTCGTGGAACACGAAGAGAATCGAATGAGTTTCCCAAATTATCCAATAAGGTAACCAAAGTTTTGTTGTTCTATAGTAAAAATAAACGAAAATTTTGGGAAATATGTGTACAATGATGTGATAAGCATTAAATAAATCTCAGTCTGATCCCAAAAATCCAATTCTACTTTATGTTTACCTTTATCTGTTTGATAGCAATGGAATTTCTAAAATGTTTCAACCAGAAAAACTTTCAAGTACACTTTTTTTGTTTGTTAAGCTTCTGATACTAGTTCATACATAAAGAAGATTCACTATGAATAATAAAGTACTAGACAAAATATAGATAAGACTACATAACATGTCGGACATGTAGATTACTTTTCAGAAAGCTTTAATTTTCAACAACAAACCTTTCCACATTCTGCATGATTAGTACTTTCAGCATTGAAAATTGTTTGAAGTGTATCAACAAAAAATGTTATTCGGCTATCGTATGTGGCAGGTAATGTATCAACAAGTTCTTTATTCAATTCTCTATATAGGGTTTCGGCTTGCTGTAGATCTGCCAGTGCTTTCACTACTTTTGGATCATCATCGCCCTGGAAACCAGAAAAATGCTTAAAAAGTCATTAATGATAACAAGGATGATAACAACTGGTGTCGTCATAAAGCCATTTATCATGTTTAAAATATTGCAGCAACGGCTAAGCGATGTTAAAGAAAGGCAGACCAAAGATTAAAATCCATTCAAAGTCAATAAGATAGTATGTGTGAATGGTCAAAATCACGAAATTTGAACAGCAGAAATCTTCATTACATTACATTTTAGTAGGTTTAATAGGATTGGTAAATAAAGAAGAATCTATGCAGATTTTTCTTTATTTACCTGGTGTAATCCACCACATTTACTATATTTACTTAATTTATGAAATGCATCTATTATGAAAATAAAACTCAAAATATCAGTACTCTGTTTATATAGGGTCGAGCTCATTTAACTATCTAATCTATAACAAGTGAAAGATTAACTTTTTTGGAACTAGCTTTCACGGTTGCATAATTATTTCGTGCACCATCAAAATCAACAAGTTTCCTTCCTCGTTTCGCTACTTTAGCTTTTAATTCGGAAAATTGCGCCATATATGCATTTACCGAACCCATCACTCGATCACTGATAATTTTTTCGAATTCATCCCATTGAAGATCCATTGACTGCAAAATGATCAAATCAATAGCAAATTAGTTCTGCTAAGTTATTCTATGCATACAAATAGCATAATCTTTGCTTACTTCACATCTCCAGCAATATATCATCTTGTGTTTTAACATTATTCAATTATATATCAATGTTAAACTAATAAACTACTGTCCAGTTCTCTGGAAGAAATGTACAATATTATGTGGAAAAAAATATAGTCCAAATTATTTACACTTGAAGTTAATTTGAAAATGTGAAGTTAATCCATATGATATGCATTATCGAAACATTTCAGAATAATATTTGAACAGTTTTACTTCTAGTAATTCAATAAAATGTACTGAAGAGAAAAAGCATTTGGCATTCATGATATCTTTTTTTTTTTTTTTTTAGAACTACATTATTAAATATAATACTAAAGAAAAGTTTTTAATATGAACAATAAAATTACTTGTGTAATAGCACACAAATGTTCACGATCCGGCCAATCCGTTTCATAAAGTTCTCGTATTGTTTCCCGAAATGTTTTCTGTGCTTGAACCATTGTTCGCAATGCTGCACTATAGGCTTTCAAATCACGATATAATCTTTCACATGCTTTGCTTTGTTTTACCAAATTGGCAGCATGTTGGTCAAACACATCATCTTGTGTTGCTTTTGCTTTACCAAGTCCTTCTAATAACTAAAGACAAAAGGAATTAGTCCTTTCTACAACAATGATTTCATCTAATTTAGACTGTTGAAGTTAAAGACTAAATATATAACATGAATTTTGTAATTTTTTCTTTTTTTTGGATAATCTGATCATATCTTCCAGATATGACACAAAATTATTTGACATCCATGATAAAGTTTACAATGTAAGTCATTAAAAAACTTCGCCTATCCATTCAGTCAGCTAACTTAATAATCAGCAAACAAAATTAGTTATTTAGTTTTTAGGTTTATTTTAATTCCTTCTATGGCTATCATTCATCATTAAATGAATAAGGAATTCTAATCGTCAAATATTAAAAATATATTTGATAAAAAGCATACTTAATATTTTTCTTTAAAACAAGAGGAAAAAAAAAGGCTAGAAAAAAACTAAACCTTTTCTTTTGCTCGTGCTGTTTGTTTTTTAAGTTGCTTACTGAACAAATCACTCATCTTTCTCCAAACTGGACAGCCAAACACATCTGTCGATTTTGAGTGCTTGAAAACTAAAATTACATACGAAAAAAGTAAGAGAAATACAAAGAAGAAAAATCGATCTTAATGAGAATCGAAAGAAAACATTTCTTTCTCATTCGTCTCCTTATACTTATACCATTTTTCTTCATCGTTTTTATTTTTTATTTTTTGCTTTTTTTAAAGTAATCATAAACTGAAAGGTCGAATAGACACAAATATATCAATTTATGTACAATTCAATGAAATGAAATGAACCAATGTAAATGAATAAAATGAATAATGTGTCAAGGAAGCAGCAACTAACAAAACTATTTTCTAAGATTTCAATTATCAATCAACTATCACGAAATGTCACATAGCACAAACTAATATTATTATTGCTACTTTCAGGAATTTCACACATATCTTAAGCTACTTACCCTAAACTAGTTCACACTACTAAACACTGATCACTTAACAAGTTAAACATTAAATGCCACTGTCACTACACCTCATTCTTCTCAACAAACATTTTTCTATCGTAACTGTCTGTCACTGTATACATACACGAAACAGTTTCATTACGAAAATTTCTTCATAATATCGGCAAATATTTCTGCAGTGAAACTAACCATAAATATTAATAATAATAATAACGGTGATACATTCATAAAAGCAGAAAAATAATAATAATAATATTAGTGCTTGATTCATCTGCCTGAGAATAATTTTTCAAATAATCAATTTCTCACTTAACAAAAAAAAAAAAAAAATTAAAAATTCAATCATTCAATAATAAATGTTGCAATTTGCTTTCCATTATACACTTCGAATTGTAAGCTAATATTAAATAGACTCATTTCAAACTTGACAAATTCGAGCACTTAACAATACACTCACTTTTTTTTAGCTCTAAAAAAAATCATAATCATCTTTTCAATTATTACCACTATCCGAATTTTATAGCATTTAGCAGAAACTCCTTTCAGCTAAGGCCTGATTTCCACTATTACTAATTTTATAGCTATTCTAGCTATAAAATTAGCAATAGAATATCAATCAAGCAGCTATGACTATAAAATCAAATATCAGAATATTATAGTGAATCTCAAGACATAAGCAAGAAAAATGACCAATAAATCGCTTAAACTATGCTCATTTAAAATAACAAACTCTAAGATCCAAGATTAATTAATTTTCTCTCCCATATTTCACACCTACCACCTACAGGAACTGAAATTTTGCAAACCATGAAGTTAGGATCTATTTATTATATGAAAATAAAAAAAAAAAAAAATTATAGAACTGATTATAGAAACCTAGAACTGCTTAATTCTAAGAACAATTTCATGTTAGTACAACCAATCATGCCTTGTCCTTTATGCTGCAAAAAATAACATAATTACGAGAAGGAAAAGAATAAGAAACATAAATGAGATTTAAGTCTCTTTTTCAGAAAGAAAAATAAGAAAGCAAAAACTTGTAATGGGATGAAATACAAGCATTGTATAAATTTATATAATGTTATGAATTAAATGTGACACCAAAATATATTGTCAAAATTATGCAGCAATACTTGTAAGAGAAAAAAAAAAAAAAAATGCAAAAATTCTAAAATTTTCTAAATGAAGATAATTTTATGGAATCATAAATTTTGTTAAATTTCTTTTCTCGCTTCTCTATCTTCTCATCTATTTAAAATAAACCGATAATCTGTTCCTTTTTTTTTTTTTTTTTCTCGCATACAATTACCTGAAAATTAATGATAAACCAATTCCTGTACAAATGGATAACCTGAACAAATGAATCGTTAATCTATTTGCTTGACCGTATCAGACTCTCTCATTACACAGAAATTTAATTACTTTCTTAACTACCTTATCCATATCAAGCTTTTCGCAAATTTTACAACCTATTGAATCGTACGATCTTTTATTTAATTTAATATGAGAATTACATCGTTTTTTTTTTTTTTGACATAAAGAAACTGCAAAAATAAGCGACAAAACTTTTTCTGACATAACATTCATTTACATTTCTATCCCAACATTTTCTTTTCTACAGGGAACATTCATCGAAGAGCACAGATTATACAATATGATTCAAATCACTACATATGCAGACATTTAATCAGCAAAAAGTCATCATAACTCATTCATCAACAAATGGTTTACAAAAAACAGCTAATGATGTGCGTCCAATTTTTTTTTAAGCTTAACCTTAAAGTAGCATATCGTGCATTCTTACTATTAATAAGTTTGTAAATTATCAAGAACCGTTCAGGATAATTAAATCAACCATTGCTTATCTGTGAAAAACTACTTATCAATCTTAAAAAATTAATTTGAGATGCTAGTCTTCAGCAACGTTACTAGCTCAAATCACCCGCTATTATCGCTATTAGCATCAATGAATTTAATAGCCTTTCCACTTTGCTCGGGCATTTCCAAAAAAAAAAAAAAGAAAAAAACATATGCTTTATCGAGCTTCTGCATTATAACAAACTCTTATCTCACTAAAGAGTTATAATGGTATAAAAAAAGAAAGTTTACTACTTCAAAAAACTAATACTATCATTTCAAATATTAGAAAAAGGGAAAACCTAAGAAAAGAAAATTATGATATCTATTCGCTGTCAATAACGAAATATTTTATGAAAATGCTTTGATATAATCAATGAATGTATTTGCGAAACATATCTAGAATTGATAAACGTCACGAATTTTACTTAGTACCAACAAACATCATAAACCTTATCAAGGAGTGACATACATATTACGAAACATATCTAGAATCGATAAACATCACAAATTTGCCGAACCTATAATTAATTTATTAATTGACTCATCGGCATATTTATGAATACACAGATACATACGCGTCTATCCAGTAATGACATTACTTCCTTCCTTTTCTTAATTTAACCTTGCCATTTATTTAATCCCACCTTAATAATACTTCAATCAATAAATCTGGAAATTTTAACCATCAGAAATTAGAAATATAAAGTATCATTCATGATGGAAATGAAACACTACTTTCTAACTATGCATACATACTTTACTGATAAGCATTTAATCTATGGACTATCGAATTTTAATGAATTTATACCAGTTGTCACTTCTCAAATGTCACCTGATGTGTTTGCTCTCCTTCCTTGAACATTTACATAACTAAAAAGTTAAATATTATGAATCTTATGTAGAATCGATATCACAGACTTTGCAGGTAACAAATGTTAGCTTTAAGCTTCATATCATACCTAATCATAGATTGCTATATTTATCGTTGATTAGCAAGAAATTATCTTACGATAAATTAAATGGACTACTGAAATTATGAAGTGAATAATGAAAGGTAGCAATTACAGTATAAAATTACGAAGAAAATGTTACGAAAAGAAGTGAGTTTTTTTTACAGAGTCGGCACTAATTTTCTAAATTTCCATCTCTACCATCCTTCAAGGTCATTTTAACTCTCTCCATAGAAATAAATACAAAGAAACTCTTATTTTCCTTTTTCTTCAAATGCAATGTAACGTCAATATAGTTTATATAGTAAATGGAATCAATCTCTCTCTTAAATTCTAAGGAAATATTTAAGCCACATGGAAGAATCGGTTTTTAAATTCCACTAATTCTATTGAAAAAATTTACTATCTCATCCAATGAGGACATTCTGCAGCAAAGCAACCATCATCTGACAGAGCAGAAAACTATTCTCATAACTTAAATTTTTCTAGAAATACAAAAAACAGTACGAATACTACGAAAAATAAATATACCATAGGATAAATATAATTGAATTTTGCAATCGTCGACGTGTTACAGATAGACTGAAAGAGAACTATTATAGTTAGCTATGAGAATAAATTATTATTAATAATCGTTTGCTAAAACGATGCGTTTTTATACGCACAAATATTTAAACGATCTAAACGCAAGAATAGAAATGTATGATCTTTTATATTATATGCGAGGTAAAAGTTCCCAAAATAATACCGAACAAAAATGATGCCATATAGTAAAATCATTTCAAATTTTCAATTTCTCATATATTTAACAGAAAAAAAAAAATGGGCAGAAAATCTGCAAGCAATAATGATAATTTCTTGTAAAACTTGAAACAATGTATAGTAGCAAAGAACTGATAAAGTTGGTATTCAAATGAAACAATTATTAAATAATAATATTACATTTCATTTATGAAATCGGGTAGTTTCTACTGATGAGTATCAATAAAAGTAACAAAAAATGAACATCCCCAATCTGCTAACTGTTCATACTTCTGAAAATCCACTATTTGAAATAGATTCAAACTTAAATACCAAATCAGCCTCAAAAAAAAAAAATAAGCAAGGCATATGTGGCACTAAGTTTGATAGAAATAAAAAAGTGATAGTGTAGATAGTATCAAAAAGTGTAAAATAAAACGAAACGGCGATGGCCGTAAATAACAGAAATATTTGGTCGAAAAATAAATGCAGACAGTAGCTGATGACATTTTTCAAAATAAAATCTTCAAAAAAAAAAAAAAAAAAAAAACTACCAGAACATGCAATGTTTGCAAAATTAAAGATTTGCCAATAGGGAACTGAAATTGCGGCTGCTAATTAATATACAGTGATAAAATGGATTAAAAAAAAAAAAAAAAAAACTTGCCAAAGTAATAAATGAAATGAATAATGGTATGGATTAGTAACAAAAATGAGCGTTTAACACCGCACGATAAAAATATTAAATCAAAATGTTGAATAATGTTATGTGTCTAAACATAGCTAATATTTAAACCAAACATCGACATATCAAAACTTATGAATTATATGAGCTCAAAAACTGCAAAACATAAAGAGGATTATTATATTCTGAACAGAAGTTCAAGAACTTATCGAAACACTATGATAATGTTGCCATCCATAACCACAATGTTATAAACCATGAAGAAAAGAAGAAAAAATAAAAGTTTTGAGTTTTAATGGAAAACGGTTGCAGATTGCAGATAAGTTAATGAATCAATCAACATGATTTGCATTTAACATTATAAAAATCCAAGGAATTAAGAGATTTTTATCAAATTTGCATTATATGATTATAATGATTATAAAATGAACGAACATTAAAAGAAAAAAATGTATAAGGATATTATGAAGGACATTTCTATGAGCTCCAAACCCGTCGTTGATATTCTGGTGGTGCGACTTCGTAATCTGTTTCAATATCAAAAAATTTATGACGATTAACTTCAAGGAATTTCAAAAAATTGTGCACTTGGTTCACAATAGTTTCAATTGTTCGTTCACTCCAATTTGTAAGCCTGAAATGCGAAAACACTTCAGTGTCACAAATTCTCTTCCAAAAGCTTACATTTCAGTTGAAACTACTCATATAGTGCGAAACATGTTTTAAATCTAGAAATTAGCATAAACACTCTGTTACTGCAATATCAACCATAACTACACAAATTTGTTGAATGTCAAACGAACTGCATTTTTGGTAAGAAAAAAATCTTTTTCAATAACAGCGACAGGACACTGAAATGAGAAAACTTAATGTTGATCTCCAATCACAGTCGGAAACGTTGATTGCTACCACATCCTTCTCTGCTCCTCCTCTCTATGTTACTTAATTTGAAATAGATACGATCAGTAAATTCTAGTACGAAATTGAACTCAAATTAAAGTTGACATTAATGTGAAAAAACTCACCCCAACATATGCCCGAAACGAACAAAGAGACGAAGAAGATGAATGAAACCATAGTATTCCGAAGGCTTAAACTTGTCATAATCGTCTGTAGGTGAATCTACAAAGGAAAATCAGTAAATAAAAATATATGAATAATTTCGAGATACTCAAATTCATCAATTTTTCATACATTTAGAACCGTACGTAAAACATAAGTTGGTTGCTTAAATTATAACTCTAGGTTAATACCTACCGTCACCATCAGCTGCGTCATTGCTACGTTTTTTCTTCGCATCTTTTGTTCCTTCCTTAAAGTTAACAAAGATAAGAATTTGATTAACAAGGGCAAAAACGTCACTTCCACAGAATTTTTTTCTAGCATACTTGAATTTATTATATGCCTGCAGGCTGCTTGAATGAATATAAAACGAGATGTAATCGATGAATGTATTGTTGTGAGAATAAAAATATGTAAAGGAATAGTATTTTGCTGGATTCTGGATTGGCAAACATATGGAATGAAAATAAATGTGCGCGTAGCTCCGGAAGAAAGAAATATTTTAATTGCATCATCGCATCAAATAAAAAAATTGTACCTGTTTATCCTTATGTTGAGCAAGGAGATCGGCATACTGAGGTCGCTCAAATTTGTACAACAGTTGTAATCCCAATGAACTGTTAAAATAATCCTAAAAGATATTTAGAAAAAAAAATGAAACACATTAAACATTTCATGAAAGACATGAAAACAATGGAAACAGTATCTCGCTCATAAACCAATATGACCTTCAAACAGTTCAGTTCGGTTTTTAAAGCGCTTGTTTCTTTTTTTTTTTTTAAAGTTCAAAATCCATTCATTTGAGATGCAAACAGTAGAACAAACAGTGAAAAGTAAAACTAAGTCACCTGTATACCGTAGCTGCTTTCAACCAGAGTAACTACCATCGAATTCAGCTGCGTATCATCGCTTCCAAATTCAAATGTCAAAGTATCTTTCGCTTCCACACATGTACCCATATAATCTGCATACTACAACAACAGAAATATTTTGGATATTGGAGTATTAGCTCACACACTTGAATATCAATTCAAAATCCAAATATTGACTGAATCGATCATTCACTAATCAAATTAGCTATTCCTTCTGTTGAGTTTATAAGATGCAAAAAAAGAAAAAATGCCCCATCTCTCTTTTAGCCTATTCTGCTGACCAACAGACTGATTCAGCCAGTCTTTGATTTATTTTTTCCGAACTTAAGAGTGGAGCTAATTATTACAATTATTAGTAACCATTCGATTATCGAAAGAGGATAATAGCAAAGATATGCTTATTAATTCCATACAAAGTTAAGATAATGTAGGTATCATCTATCGAAGGATAGAACCACTGCCCTTTAGAACTACAAGGTATTGATTTATAACAATGAGAATTAAAGTAATTTTGGAGAAATACCATTTCAATCCTGATAACTTTTCCTCTTTCAACCTTCATAAGTTAAATTCGATCTTACCTGACGAACAATGCCAGCTACCGTGTGACGTGCCGGAAGTCGTGGAAGATACATCTGACGATTAATCATATCGTGATCATCGACCAGAATGTCTTTCAATACTGATGGTATCTAAAATTAAAACCTAATCCATATAATTAGAAATATCACAAAACATCTTCCGATGAACTTAAAATAATTCTAAGACATAATTTGACTATTGATTACAATATTCTCCCATATTATTCCGCTAATTCAAATCACCAGCAACATTTGATGATCAGCATTAAACTACATCTTCCAATTATATGCATCATTTTTCACTGAACCTAAAAAATAAGAAATGATATTTCAAATATTTCCGAGAAAATTCGTTCTTTCTCTATTTAAAGAAACGAAAAAAGATTTCATCCATTATCTGGTTGTTACCAGAAATGCTGGAATCCATACCAATAGATGGATTAAAAAATAAGGTGAGGATAAACACTCACATCAATTTTAATTTCATTCTTCCGGATAAAATCCGAAACCGGCTCGCTCTCCAGTTGTGTACCTGGTTTACGCTTTCGTACAGTTCCTAAAGAAAACTTCATGCTTTTGATTTGTTTTCAATTAAATAAATTATCCATTTTAAAAATGAATCATTACACTGCTTAAATTTCAATTTCATTGATTTTTTTAAAAAGCAACATATCTCGATAAGAATAAGCAATTTGTGGATAGCACTTTAAGATACACAACTGCTCCTCAGAAATCAAGCAGAATGAATAACAGCAAAGCAATAAAAAAGACTAGATATAAATCTGCTAGTTGGCATAGATGAAAATTATCTCAGAGTGACTATTTAATTCTAATCTCCTACTAAGCAATGCACATTTTATCAAATCTAACATTAAATATTTCCTACATCTTCAACATTTCCAAAACTGATATAACCTTTATCTGATACAATGCTAGCAGCTCGACTTGTCGATGTCCCACGTTTATCCGATGGTGTACTCCCTCGGCTATCAGCTCCACCGCTACGTTTCTCATCCAAAACATTTGATTTCCGACTACGCCGTTTGTTTTGCGCTAACCGAGCCTGAGCATCTCTCATTTCCGCCTAAAGAACTACAAAATTTTTTGCATCAATTTTAATCGGCCACCAATTTTTTCATTAAGTTATTTGGGATTCATCGGTTTCATTCTGAGGCATTTTTTTTTCTTTGCCCTTTACAAAATGATGGAACATCAATTAATTCAGTTATAAAAAAAGATAGCTAACTGCCTATTTTGTTAATTAATCTTCATGGAATTTCGTAAGAACAAAAATGATGAAAACATTTTAACAAGATATGATTGCCTATATATTTTTAAACAGATCACTTACACATTTTTTTTCTTTTTTGTTAATCTCTCATTTGTTACTAAATTTACTTTCATACAGAATAAGAACAATTATTGCCGTCACTTATTTTTTTTTTCCGTGTAATCGTATTCTCATTATTCTAAAACATTAGTTCATATGGTCTATAATATTACGACCAACAGTGAAAAATGATTTTAAACATCAATAATTAACTGACTTATTTAGTTTAGTTTAGCTAGCCGCTGATGAATAATTATTTACTTAAAAAAAAACTCATAAAAATCAAGTATATACTAGTCTTGCTAATCTTTTCCTTCCTAACCTTTTTGGTAATCTTTTTCTAATAATAAGACAGACTAAACACTTGATTCCTTCCCTTCATATCAAACTTTCATTGATTCATCAGTGGACTTTACCCACGCCTATCCTATACGATCTCGCAATAGAGCCATATGAAAAAAACTGCAGTGCAACAAACTTTCAAGTATTCGAAATCTTAACAATGCAATTTTCTATTATATTATCCAAATATTTCCTCATTTTCCTCCATTAATGACACAGTAAAACTATCACAGACTTTAATAATTGAAATTAATATCTGAAAATGCAATTCAAGAATTTTTAGAGTAGTAGAAAATTCATGCTTAAAAAATTTATCTTCATCATGAAATAGATCTAAAAAATAGTACCAAATATTCAACCTGTCCATAAGATTATTTGCACTATATATTTGACGAATGAGATCTAAAATTAGTATCATACAGCAGTCCAGTTAGAAAATTGAAATGTGTACGAAACAAATTAAATATAGTATAAGAAAAGACTTGAACTCATACCATTATATTTTTCTTAGCTTAATTATCATATTTTTTAGAAAATCTGCAAGTTTCATGCTAATTTCAGATTCATGACTTCATCTTGATTTTCTGCCTTCTTTCTTTCTCCTACCTTCTTTCCTTAATAATGCGAAAATACACCTCCGTCTGATTTCTTCGCGTTAGACATTTGGCTTACAATTAAAATAGTGGAATTTAGTAACAAAATTTATGAAATTAATAGTTATAATGTAAATTAGTTTATAAAAGAAATGCATTTGTGAGTAATGTGACAGTAAAAAGGAAAGTATTTCAAAAAGAACTTTATAGACAACGGCTCTAAGCAGGATTACGAAATCGTCCTTTTACAATCGTAATTAATGATCATACTAATGATCACAATTACAAATATTATGCTATAAATAAATGACTAATTTTAATTTCCATAGTAGTGTGTTAGGAATTACTCTTACAGTACAATATTCACTCACGAATATTTTATGAGAAAATAAGAAATTTCTAAATTCGTTCGGCAGAATTGTCTTATCCCTTTACAGTGGACTACTTTCCATATAACGCCATTAACTTCTAGTATGAGACTAAGAATCTAGGATATTATGTCCAACAGAAATATATATACTTCAACATAACAAATACGAACTCGAGCATATAATTGATAATGCTTAACGTAATTGTCTTTTATAATGCTTAACGTAATTGTCTTTTAAAAATTCAAGAAAAATTTTTCATTGATTAAAATTACTAATTGAAACGTTTGAAGAAACCTTTGCTCGTTCCACATTAGCCGTTGTATATTCTAGAAAACGACTACGTGTGCTGCTATGCTTAATTTTTTCGTCATGTCGTTGATTCCAACCCTAAAAAAATTTAGATAGAATAGACAGATTAATGGGGATAAGATAAATCCTAGAAACATACTTGATACATATAACTGGAATAATTAATTATACCTAATGTACAATTGCATGTCAATAATATCCTCTAATATCTGGTACTTATCTAATATATCCAATATTCAATACTACTTAACGCTAAAACTGTTTACATAATCAGCAGAAAAGATCAAAATCATACCTGATAATGAACAGTATAAATGGGTTCACCATCAAGGCCATGTTCCACATTGATAATTTTCGCTTCATAATAAAGATTATCCAAGTGCTGACAGAGTACTTTGGCATGTAATTCGTAAACATCCGAGGGTTTTGGAACTTCCTGTAAAACAAATTCTACATTTAACCAATGTTTTTTAGATATTAAAAAGTGAACATAATGAAAATTTTTAAATGTACTAATTGTACAGAACAACACTGAAAGCTGTTACATTCAGCTACATAACAGAAGTGACTGCTATATGTAACGTTAAGCAGTATATAACCAAAATTAAATTGTAGAAGCATATTGCAAGTTATTCTTATTATAAACCAGTCAGAATAGATAACAGAGAAGCATTCATATCTTAACCTTTGCATAAAGTAATACCATGTTTACTACACTGAGAACTTCACGGGTATTTCTCAAGAAATTAAGCATTACTGCAACAAAGCTTAAATGCATTTCAAATATTACGAATAGAAAGCAAAAAAAGTCCAACTTTAGCTGCGTCTTTGGTAGCGGCGCTTTCCTTTTTCGGAGGCATCTTTAAGCTTCGTGACGGAAGAATGACACAAAAGAAAAAACCACCAATAAATCCAAGTAGCTCCTGCAAAAAAATAAATTGCTGATCATTCCAAATAAATTGAAATTTTACCAAATTCGAAAATGGAATAGAAAACAATTAGTTTTGAAAACGAATAATTTATGACAACAGAGTAACTCCTTCTTTGTTTAGCAAGCATTTATTTATCTTCAAATTGAAGTAAACTTAATAACTTTATTGAAATCTGTACGAGAAAAAGCAGTGTATAGACATATCTCAACTTCCTTCATATGGAAACTATTTAAATTGACGTCTAAATTTATCTGAAAAATTATAAGATAATGTTTCAAATTAACATCTTTATAAGTTGAGTTTCAACAAAATAAACATCACTTTCAATCACTGCACATCTACGTATCAGAATATGAATTGTTTAATTAAGATAAAAAGATTTTAAAGAGATGTATAGTACACCAATTCATTGGATAAAAATTCTTTATAATTGATGCATATATAGTGTTTTTCTCTTGAATAATATTATTTTAAAATAGAAAAGACTATTCAAAATGCTTTCTGAACCTTTTCCTGATAAAATTAGTCTTAACATGTTTTGAGCATGTATGTTCGAAAATTTCTGAGATGAAACCACTAACAAATAAAAATGAAAATGGAACAAGGAATAAAAAAGTAAGAACAATTCGTTACTCAAAAATTCATTTGAAATAATTCCTAAATATGAACATGGAAGAAAAATTAAAAAAAAAAAGAAATAAAAATATTGATGTTATAAATGTTATTTCAGAGACAATATAAATGTTATGTCACCTATTTGATAGTTAGAAAATTGGTGGATGCATACAATGTTATTAGAGATTTTAAACAAGCATCACTGACACCGAAACAACCTTTTATCAAACAGCTAAAAGATATGATGAAGTGAAATTATACAAATATAAAGTTTACAAAAGGATAAATACAACAAAATAGTTCAGAATTTCGATGCCAAATATTAGTAAAATAAATTCATTCTTTTCTTTAATTCAAAAATATTTACTTGGAAAACTGAAAATATTAGCTGGAAACGGCACTCTATTGATTTATGTTTGTTGACTATCTATATTAAACCTTTTTTCCAACTTCCCTTTTTCATTCACATAACAATATTTCTGTTTCATTTTATTCTATTTCATTCTTCAGTTTTGCTCATTCTGTTCCTCATCCTTTTGTCATTTACAAAAACATTCTTCGTCCTTTTTTTTTCGAGAAAGAAATCCTAGATTACAAAATTCATCATTCATCTGATCATTTGACATTATTTCAAGATTTCGAACAAAATTTCATTTACTGCTTCGAATCAAGAACGTATATGATGTAAAATAAATGCAAATGGAAAGTTTCAAGAAAAAAAAAGCAATGGTATATGAAATTTTGAAAAAAGAAAACTAGAAGAAAACGGATGACAATCACTGTATTAGAAATAGTTGCGCATAACTGGAACCGGTTGTTACACAAAAAAAAAAAAAAAAATACCACAAAATTCAATTTTCACCTATTACATTACATGAAGCTAGACCTAACCGCATTTTACTCATCACTTTTAACGGAAAGATACGTGATGAACATTCTCGTAGTTTAAGAAAGTTTGCGAAAACTTCAACTATCTTTCACGTTGGTGAATGTCATCACATATGAAACGTATGAAAGCGAAACACGAAACACACAGAAGCTAGACGTTTACCACCACGCAACATCACGCTTATCCCAACAAGAAACACGTGAGTGGTATTGTGCGGCTCGTCGAGAAGTAATTAGTGGGCACACAAAATATTACTTCCAAATTTCAGAAATGCTTTTTATGTTTGACAAAGTAAAAGAGAGAGAGAGAACTAATTGATGTTTAAATTATTACAAAATTTCATTCTGAAATTTCGGTTTTACTTATTTCACAGTTTTCATTAATTAAAGAGTTTTTCGACAAGAATAATTGAATTACACGCTTTTTTTTTGATTAAAAATTGTGACTCAATTTTATTTTTAAAACTTTTATACAATTTTTTTTTTTTTTTTTTTATACAAAAAGAAAAACTTTTATATAAAAACTAAACATTATTTCAGCAATACGAATAATGTATGTTTTATAATAAAAAGATGTAGAATTCATTGAAATATTATAAATTTTGGCGATACACGTGGAAGTGCATATGAATCATTGACGTAAGATGTATAAATTTTATCGAATGTTATATGACAAATGTAAATGTATGCGCATATGAATGTTGGAATTTAGTTTGCAATGATAATTGAGAGATTTTCCAAGATGAATTTAGTTTTGAATTTAAATCTTAAAAGAAACATTTTTATTTGGAACATTTATTTGAATACAGGATGAAAAGAAAAACATACATGCACATTTGCCAAGTTTGAAAGCTAAATGGAAGCGGTTTATTTCATATCGTTTTTATTTTTTCTTTTTACAGTGAATTATTATTTGAATTCTTTCGCTGATTTTTTATTTAAATTAATTGTTTTAGCTTTAAAATATGAAATTTAGTTAGCTAAGATTTGAAATATAATAAGAATTTAAAGTACGTCGAAAATTCTAAGTCTCATTTATTATATTTCAAGAAAAATCTCTTTTAAAATTTGCAAATTCATATCAATTATTTATCATTAAAACTAGTATTTTTTAAAAAAAAAAGAAATAAGATATCTGTTGAATAGATTTAATCATCAACAGTACAACTTTTGGAAGATTTCAGTCAAAAATTTTCAAAAAAGCAGCAGGATTAGAATATCAAAATCATAATGATTTCAACGGTTTTGGTGATGTTACAATGATAAATTGTAAGAAATCTACTCATTATCACAATTTTTTTTTTTTTTTTTTTAATGAGATTTCATCAGTGATTTTTTTTTTTTTAAAAAAAAGAAATTTTTTGAGTAAAACCAATTCTTAATAAAATTTAAATAAAGTTGTGAGAGAAAAACGAGAAAAATTGTTTAAATGAAGTCATTGTAATCATGTTAGCAAATGTAAAATGCTCCTTAAATCAGTTTTATTAGAAAAAATGAAATTTTGATGAGAACCATTTTTTTTTTTTTTTCATATCCTATAAAATATTTTTTATTTCAGGGGAACAAATGAAATGTGCAGATGATAGTAAAGCTGTAGTTTGTGATGAACGACCGTTTGAGCTATATGGGAATACAGTGTGGAAGCCATGTTTATTCGGCTATATTTGCATCAAAAAATATGAATGTTAGTTTAAATAATATTATAATCGATTGATGTTTTAATTATAACGTTTAAAAGTTAAGTATTACTTACATTAGCTATTCTTCTTCTTGCCTTTCACCGAGCTAAATTGTCAATGATTCAAATTATATTTGTTTTTATGAGAAATACCTGATGTTTGAAAATAAAGGTGACAACCTATGACATTGCTTAAATATTAATAGTGCTGGATTACATAGTTGATAACAAATAGTTAATGATACATGTTGCTAAAACACATTTTTAGCTTATTGCTTCAGGAACTAATTGGTAGCTTTTTTTTAATTTATTTGTTAGACATTACGTATGTTTGATTACATAGTAGACAAGATAATAAGTAATACGTGTTACTGAACACGTTTTCAAGTTTGTTTAAAGCTTCAATTATACAACTATTATGTTTTGTCACTTGATGAGTTGTTAATTGTTAGTCTGATATTGTCATTAAAGTAACCAATCTACAAGAGATAGGCTTACGCAGGATAGGAGTTTTTTCACTAACTTTTGAAATTTTAATTTTGTCAAAATTTGACGCTTCTTACTGCATTCATTGATATTTTAAATTATTATTGAGCTTTCGTGCTCTTTTTTTGCAGATGTTAACGAATTTCGACGTTGTAGTGAATTAAGTGAAGAGTTTAGTCCGATTTTTTGTAACAGTGCTTATGAATATCCACGGAATTTTAATTGTGATTTCTACAATAAATTTGCTTGTCAACGTGGCAAGCGTTATATCTATTCATGCATTTGTACCAATGGTCATCGAAATGCGTAAATTGACTTTTCAAATTTTATCGCATTTTATTCTCTTCATTTGTCGACTTTCAATAGTTTAATGGGAAAATTAAAATTTGTTTGTTTCAAGAAAAAGAGGAGAATAAAGAAGTAAGAGTTGTATGAAATAGATGGAAGCAATTCGGAGATTGTAAAAGTTTCCTTATTTGTTTTGTTTTCTTTTTGGGATTCCCAAAGTTATATAATTTTAAATTGACTATTTCGAAAATATTTTGTACCTTTTTTTTTTCACATTTACAGTGATATGAAAACCTGCGCCAATACAACAATTTGTAGCAAAGGATTACCTGAGAAAAAATTTTTATCATCTACTACGGAAATACCGGGAATGATAATCATACGCACCACTACTGCTTACACTGTTCATACGACTGTTTTTCACAATTCAAGTAAGCATATCTATTTCTTCCGCTTTGTAAAGGTTTTTGATTATATGTGAAATACTGAAGATATATCTTCCTCGTTTATAGAAATGTCAGTCAGAGCTGATCTCATGATTTTGGATTTTCTTTTTTTTTTTTAAACCAATAAAACAGTTCATTTCATAAAACTCTTTGTATATCTTAAATTTTGAACAATTCCCACTATTCTGAGTTATAGTAATTTGAAATTTCAGCTCGAGATATGATAATATCTCAAAGAAAATGTCATCCCGGTTCACAGTTTTCTGCGCTTTTGAAAACTATTTTTTCCATCCTATCAGCATTAAATTATTATTATAATAGCAGATAATATTAGAAGAAATTCTGGACATATTGTTATATTATTCAGAAAAAGATAAAAAAAACTGAAATCCTTTCCGGCAAATTTAAAGTTATGGATTATGTTAAAATTTAAAATAACGATCTTAATGGCTACAATATTAGTAGTTTCAAATGAAACAACACAAAAAATCGTATAATAACCGATCAGCACTGCTGACAAATCAACGACAGCGTAAATGGTCTAATTAGCCTAACAAAAGTCTGCGTTAGTAAGCTTCTCCAACGATGGTTATCATCATTTTAATCAGTTTTAACCAAAAACCAAAATTATAAAAGGAAAACGAATTATGATCAAAATTCTTATGTAACTTTATATTTTACTGCAATGTGTAGGAATACTACAAATAAATGAAGTTTTAAACGTGAAATTATTAAATTATAACTTCATGAAATTTTCATACAATGAAAACGAAGCAAAGAGATATCACAGAAAATTTAATATAAAAGCTAAAAGAGAGAAATGCTTATGAGAAAAAGAAAGATATCACTCTTAATCATCACTTTATTCGCATTAAAGAATTGAAATAGAAAATGAAAATGATTATTTAATCATCTATAACAAACCCTAAATGCAAATTGATGAGATTCAAAAAGAACTGCAAAAGTGACAACGGAAAGTTTTATTTAATGAGAAACTAAGAAATGACACTTAATAAAAAAACATAGTGAAATTTCGAACGAAAGTATTGAAATAATAGAATCACAAATCATTCCAACCTGATAGTTCAATCAATACGTTACAAGAATTTCAAAATTTAATCAACGTATTTTATTCACCACTTCGAATTTTTTTCATTTTTTAAAATGAAGCTATGTCGACTTATTTAAATTTCAATCAAAAAACTCATCAGTTTTGTTACAAAAGTCCTCCAAATTTTGGACTAATAAGCAAAAGTAGACCGGTTATTATGATCTAAATGGTATATAGGTAGATCTATACCTGGATTTAAACAGATTAAATTAAACCTTTTCCCGTAAACAATCAATTAATGAGAACTACTAAACATAATGAGTGAAAATAAATAAATATACACATGGCACATTGACGAATAAAGAAAAGACACCATATGAATAAGTATTTGTAGAATTTGGTTAATCTTTAAAAAATTTTGAAGAATCTAAATTATACACCAAATTTCAAAATTATCAACTTTTAGTTGGTCGACCATTTCGGGCATGGAAAATAGAAGAATTTGGAATGAAAGTTAAGACTACAAAATTAACACAAAATTATCAAATGCAACTCGAAAAAAATGATATTAAATTAAGTAAATTAACAATGAATTGATTAAGTTTGGATAGCAGAAAGATAATAAAAGATAAAAAAAAAAAAGGAATAAAGCATAAATTAATCCCTATATCAACATATAAACAAGTGAAATGCAAATTAAGACAGAGATGAAATATGAAATTTCAATCCCATTACTATGATAGATTCCAACATTCTCCAAATATATTTCAGTTCTATTTCAAATTTCTTATAAATTCTAATCTGATAAATCTTTCACGATATGAAAATATACGGAATGAAGTGATATTAAGGCAGAGTAAGAAATATTCATTTACAAAAATATAAAATAAATTGACGTAGTTTTACCAGAACTTTCAATTAATGCTGTAACAGTTCAGATGGCAATGAACTGGAAATTTGCGGTAGCTAATTCCGGATTATTTATTATCACCGGAAATAAATGGTACAGAAAAGGAGTAGAATAATATATATATATACTTATATTGTTAGGATTTCAATCGATTTAAGTTTCTTTTTTTTTTTGGATGAAAATGGAAAATGTATAGTGCAGCTAAAATGATCGACGATCTATTGTCAAATTATTTCCTGATAATTTTCATCGATTTCATTCTAATATTTCTTTCATATCCAGAAAAAAAAAGAAAAAAAAAAAAAGAGGAAAATATATAATTCACGAAGGAGAATTAGCCATTAGAAAGAAGCAAACAACATAGGTTGTGAGGGTAAAAATTTTTAAATAATAAGTGCAGTATTCGGTGAATCCAGTGAATCAGCGGTTTGTTTACGTTGAAGCAAAAATTTTCTAAAAATAATTCATAACTATTATCTATCATCATTTTGTCAAATAACAAATATAAAATTAAAGAGTTTCTTAATGGTGTAAAAACCTAGTAGGTATCAAAATAAATGTGTTAAAAGTATCACATATATCTCATAGGTATAGCTTTTATTCGGAAAATATCTAATATCACTTATCTTCAACTACTCTTAATTATTTCATAAAGGATGATATTCTTGAAATACTCATATTAAAGAGGCATAAACAACATGCAAGTTACGCTAAAATCACCTGAAAAAAAAAAAAAAAAAGAAAGAAGCAAAGGACATCTGAAAGCAACAAAGGTATATAAAGCTTGGGAATGTATAAATAAAATAAATAACCTTCACTTCTAATCTTTAAGTTTATCTAATCAGGATTAATCTTATAACTTTTTATCTAAATCAAAGTACTTCATCCAAAAAAATTTGTTCTATTTTTGTCGTTTATTTCACATGTAAATTCTTTCATTCTAAAACCAAATTTATATCCAAATGATTAAATAATTGTAAAATGTAAAACAATTCTTTTACCCACATAACTAATAGGATTTTATCACAAAAATACCTTTGTGAATTACTCGATATGTAAGGAAATAGAATTTATTATTAATGGTATTATTTACCACTTCTAAGCAATTACTTATTTACTTATTCACTCTCAACTTAAAACTTTAGCTTTGAAAGCTAAAGGGCTGTGCTCTCCTAGATTAACCAAGTCCTTACCTTAACTTAATCAGCTCCTTACTAATTCTCACTCAAATTTCGAAACAAGTTCTTCAGTAAGCAAGAAGAAATCTATCAATTAATAATTGTATTGATATTACCACAACATTATCATCAAAATTCCACAAAAAATTAAACTTTGCAGTAAATTTTTTCTGTGAAACAACAAATTGCTCAATCAAAAAACTTTCATGAAACCACCTTAAAACAGATAAGGGAAGAAAATAAATGTATAAATTTAATTAAAATATCTTAGTACACAAAAGATTAAAATAAATGTATGAAATATTTTTATCACTTTAAGATTAACTGACAGACCTATCGAGTGGTGTAATACGATTTATACTTTGTTGTGAATCAAACATTGATGTTATTGTTGAAATAATTGAACTGAATGATAGTTTTGATAATGATCGTCTCACTACAAAATCATCCAAACCACGATGTACAGCAACCGGCCAATCACCCATCGCTAAGCGTGCTTGATGCTTATAAAACTCTGCACAAGCCAAACTTTGCTGAGTTGGTTTCCTAAATATTAAAGTTTAAAGTAAACGCCAGAAATAAATGATTAATTGATCAATTAAAAAAAAAAAAAAACTGATGAAATCCGAAGTCAAAAACCTGTCTTTGAAGACAATAATTAAAATACCTAAAATGATAGTTTTATTTCAAAAAAAAAAAAATCAAGCGATTGTTTCATTCAACTTATAAATCCATTATGACATTATAAAAGTTTTAGAAACTAAGAGATTATGAATTATGAAATATAATGAAATCAATAATTCACCTGTATAGTTTTAGTAGCAAGGATGAAGCGACAACACTAACTGATGATAAAGCCATTGCTGCTGCTGCCATCCATGGTTGAATTGTAAAATTCCAAGGCATGAAAACACCTAAAATGATAGTTCTATTTCAAAATTTTATCAACTAGTATAATCAACATTAATAAGCGATTGTCACCATTATTATGCTAACACTGTTGTTTTATACAGCAAGATAATATAAATAATTAAACCCATACAGATTTAAACATCAAATTTATCCACATATGATGAAATTCATTAATTCAAAATTAGTTTTGGTGATCAATTGGAATTAAATATAGATATTGAGCTTCAAATAAACATTTGTTGGTTTTCAAACTTAAAGCCTGATAAAATCATCAAATTAACAACAGATCCACTAAGCTAATAATAGTTGTTGAATTTATTTTTTAAATGATTCTTATTACTTTTATTCTTTTTTTTTTCCCTTCTGCTTATCACATCCTTATCATATTTTTATGGCTTTTTCAGTTATATCAAAAAAAGAGAAAAACTTGCCACAGGCTCGTAATCATCACGCTTTACCTATACTTACCTTTCTGTAATTGTTCACTCCTAAAAATCGTAACTTTTTGCAATTCTTCAAGAAAGCTATTTCAATTAGATCATAAACTAAACTAAGTAAGATCTGAAAAAGGAAAAAAAGAAAAAAAAACTGAACCTATAGAAAGAAAACCAACCGGCAGCAATAGGAATTCCAATAACATTGTACAATATAGCAAACAAAAAATTAAGCTGTATACGACGTGTCGTCCTTTTTGACAAATCAATCGCTGCTACCACATCAATAAGATCATTCTGAATAGAGCAACAACACTGATAAGTTCTAATATTTGCTTTTATCAATCCATTTATTTTTATATTCAAATAATGCTTTCATGAAAATAGTTATTTTACCTAAAAATGATTACTTACTTTCCTTAATTCAATTTATGTCAGAGATCATAATGGCTGGTAGAAAATATATTTAAGTATTATGAACTATAGTCGATAGTTCGTTTTAAAACAAGATTATATTAAAACTTACTTTTACTAAGACAATACCAGCACTTTCAATTGCAACATCTGAACCAGCTGCAATAGCAATGCCAACATCAGCACTAGCTAAAGCTGGACTATCATTTATTCCATCACCAACCATAGCCACCCGCTCTTTCATTTCCTGAAATAGACGATGCGAAAAACTAACTGATATTACCTTGTGAAATACTTTTTTTGTTTATTATTTTCTTTTTATTAGAGATATGTAATAGAAAAAGTAGCAGAAAAGCTATGAAAAAATTTATCAGAAAATCATCAGAAAGCCAAAATGAAGCGCTTGAGCAAGTACTTAAATAATAGGAAAGATTTTAAGTTATAATAAGACAAAAATTAAATTCCTGAAATAATCAATATAATAAAATGCTTACAACAACATTCAGAAGAAAAAATTTTATTTTAAGAGATATTAACACGAATAAAATTTATCATTAAAATTTTAAATTTACATATTAATAGTAGCATTAATTTAAAATTTATTTCTTAGTAAAGCATAAAGAAAATACCTGCAATTGTTCAATTTTAATTCGCTTCTGATTTGGCAAAACTTCAGCAAATACTTCGCGGATACCAACCTGTCTAGCGGTTGCTTCTGCAGTACGAGCATTATCACCTGTCAAAAGTATTACTCTGATATTCATACGCTGTAAAGCCCAAACTGCAAGAGCACTTTCATCCTTCACTACATCTGCTATACTTATTATCGCAACAAGATAACCTGAAATATAAAAGAGTTATATGCTTTATCGTTATTATTTTAATACTAATGTAAAGTCGTAATGTCGTTTATCTGTACTCTTCGATACTTATTTCTATCCGATAATTGCTTAATTATTTAGTCTTTTTTATCCTACTACTTATTTCAGATCAATAGTTAAAAAACTTCATTTCAATTGTTATCAAATATTATTTTCTCACCATTTATTGCACACATAACAGATATATGTCCAGCTATTTGCTCCATTTTAATAAGATTCTCAACATATTCATCAACTGGTACTCCATTTTTGGTCATCCATCGTTCGTTACCGATTACGACTCGAAGTGGTTTCTTGTCATCAAATATATGTTCATGAATATCTACATAAAGACTATAATTTACTTTATGTTGCCAACAAGGATCATTAAGCAAAATTTAAAATAAGAAAATTCAAACGGTAATAATAATGTAAAATATTGTCGGTCAATGAGAAAGACAATTAAACGAATAATACGCATAACTAACTTTACATTTAAAAAAATCTATGGCATTATAAAAGCATTTATTACAAATGTTAAAGAATTCCATCGAAAATTATACTGAAAGATAAAGTGTTACGTATAAAAGTTACTACTGAAAGAATGCTTAAAAGAAAAAAAAAATGCAATTATTACGTCGAGGAATTTGAAGGAAATAATATTCTATAGCTTACCGTAATGTCCATTTTTGATTAATTTGACATCACCATTGCTTAATTTAATTGTCGAATCAATTTGGGGTTCATTCTTTTCTGTTGTACTTAATAACATATTATTGATATTTCGCACTTCACAAACAATTCCATTTCCAGCTGATGCATGAAATCGTCGTACACTAGCCCATTCTTTCGTATTTAACCACTTTATAATAAAAATATCTAATTACAAAAAAAAAAAAAAAGATGACCTGTAAAAAAATTTATAAAAATTTCACTAAAAATTTGATACAATTTTCTTCAGAAAAAAAAAGCATCACTTACTTCTTTAACAAAAGAAGTAATTGAATTTGCAATTGGATGCTCACTGTTTGATTCAGCTGAACCAACGGCTGCAAACAATTTCAGTAACGATAAAGAACTTTCCAAAACTAACGTATGAATCACTACTACTCGTGGATGACCTTTGGTTACAGTACCAGTCTTATCCATAACAACTGTTGTAATCTAAAACATATAAATTCATAGAAATATTTGAAAATAATTAGAAATAAGAAATGCAAAATGTTTTCATTAAAAAGAATTATTCTAACTGTTTCCAGAAATTTATTTCGTCATTAGATGAGATATATATAAATTTCAAGGCTACTATCAAGATACAATTCACAAATAAGCCTAATTTTTACAAAAATTTTAACAGAAATAACTGTTTACCTTATGTGCCATTTCTAATGGTTCACCACCTTTAATAAGTATACAATTTATAGCACCGATACCTGTGCCAACCATAACTGCTGTTGGTGTTGCTAAGCCTAATGAACAAGGACATGCTATTGCTAATACTGTAATAGCTGCTTCAAAAGCTCGCTTCAGTATTACTTCCATATTTGTCCTTTTATCCTAAAAAAGAAAAAAAAAAAATAAAGCATACAATTTCAAATATTTCTAAGCTCATAGCTATATTTTAAACTTTCTGCCAGAAATTAAGGCATAGTGTCCAGGCTTAAATTTAATACCCAATCTTATAAATAATATATATGGTATTACGAGAAAACATTTTCAAAATAATAAACTTAAATAACATTTTACACATTATTAACTCCCATGCCTCTTTCTACTCTCTCTACAACGAACAGAAAAGTTTGAGTGATATGAAGACACAAACATATGAACAATGTGACAGTTTAACACAACTAAAAAAATACAGAAATTAAATACCTATTTAGAACTTCAATGATAACATTAACTCCGGCGAATTAATATGGAAATTTCCGGCTCAAAATATTAAAAAAAAAAATGTCATAACTTATAAAGACCTAATTTATAATAATTACATTTCACCGTAATAGAGTGAGATATTCATTTCATATATTTTTTAAAACAAAGAAGAAAAGGAATCATACAGTGTATTCCGCATCCATAATATAGAAACCAACAAAAATCCGGACAATAAGTGTTAAAATTGCTAAACCAATTACCATTGGTACAAAAAAGCCGGCTATTCGATCAGCTGTTTGCTGTATTGGCGCCTACAAAAGAGTAAAACTAAAAAAAAAAAAAAAAAATGAGAAAAAAAAAACGTGGTATGAAATATAACGGAAGATTTAAATAGTAAAATTAATCATTTTGAACATAACAAAAAAACCAGAATCATTATTATTAAGTATTGAGAATAAAATATTCCTCTATAAAAAACGAACTTTAGAAGTTTGCGCTTCCTCAACCAAACGCACAATTTGCGCTAATGTTGTTTCTTGACCAACATGAGTTGTCTGTATTAAGAGTGTCCCATGTTGATTAATTGAACCACCTATTACTGTACTACCTGAAATAAATGACATATATTGTTTGAGTGACAATAAATAATACTTATTGTATCCGCAAATAACAATAATTAATAAATTTAAACAGAGATTTAATTTAACAGAGCTTGAGATTTAACAATAGCATTAGCAACGTATTTATTATTCAACTGCTAAGTGGAATTTTTTCATTCCTGTTTAATATTTCCTATATTAAATTGACGTTTCATGTCCATGTATCTATGCCATATGCTTTAAATTTAGATTTAAATAATACTTTAAAGCATTTTTTAAAGGACTACATAAAGGATTTCCATAATTTTACTCTTTTGCATTGCCCTTCTCTTCATTTATCATGCCTAGTTGAAAGATGAACAAAGGAAAGTTTTCTCAGCATTTCGCAACTGATTGACTAATCATATGAAAACTACCATAGCAAATTAAAAAAATAAATAAATAAATAAAGCAAAAATGAAAGAGTTACGAAATTACCTTCTCTCTTGACTACAGGCATCGATTCTCCAGTTACAAATGATTCATCTGATGCACTTTTACCATCTACAACAATTCCATCAGCTGGAATTTTTGCACCAGGAACAACCTTTAATAGATCACCTCTTTGAACCTAAAAAAAAATTCGAAAAATTAAAAAATTAAATTATCACTCTCATTTATTTCCACTCATTATATACATAGACATCATTATGTATTTCTATATACTTAATATATGTCAAAATGAACATTTAAATTAAACTAACTAATTCGACATCAATATTTTCCTCAGATAAAATACGTCCATCATCATCACGAGTAACTAATACCGCTTCTTTCGCTTGCAATGACATCAGTTTAGTTAATGCTTCCGATGTTTTACCCTTTGCTTTATGCTCTAACCATCGACCTAACGACACAAAAGTTATAAGCATTGGTGTTACATCGAAAAATGTCATCGGACTACTTGGCCACCTAAAATATGAACAAATTTGAGATGTAGATGACAAAAAATAAAAGCAAATATTAATTAAAAAAACATAAAAACAAGTAAATAAATAAATATATATATGAAAAAATAAATAAAAGTGTATAAATATATATATATGTGTAAAAAAACAAAAGTAAATATATATACATATATAAACAAATGCATATGTCGATGTGATATCTAAACAGTATAGCTAATGTTCAAGAGTAATCCGTTATTTTACATCATCCATTCCGCACCAAAAATTTTGATTATTTGATTAAATTTAATAAAAGTTAAAGCGGTAAATCAGAAAGATTACTACAAACTCTTTTCGACTATGGCACACTTGGAATTTCAAAACATTTATGGAATTTATATTAATATACAACTTTAATAACATTGCAATTCGACTATTACAACATTCCGTTTTTCGGAAATTATTGAGCTTCTGTAAATATTTACCTTAAAATAATAGCTGTCACAATAACTGTTACAGAATACAAATATGACGTAGTCGTCGCAAGCACAATTAAAACATCCATATTCGCTGAACGATGCTTCATAGCTCTCCAGCTTTGCAAATAAAAGTACTTCCCACCAAATAACTGAAAAAAAGTCGAAAAGTACCAATGACAATGGGATTTATACAGATATTAAAGTGTCTTGCCAAATAAATATTATATTAAGTGATTGAGTAAAGTAAGGATCAAAGTAAACTGAGATGTAATTAATAATTACTAATTTTATTAAGAATAAAACTTTAGTGATTGTATGAAAATGTTGCAAATGGTGCAGTTTTGACAACATAATATAAACTAAAGAAATGTTTGCTAAAATTGTTAATTAGTACCTGCACAGGTGTACATAAAACAAATAAAATGAGATTATCCAAACTGAGTGCAGGAGTAAATACTGGTGTCTGCACTTCAGGATGCATTGGTGTATGGAGAAACCAATGAAAATAAACCATCACACCCATCACCGGAATTCCAAACAATAGTGATACTAACAGTGAAGTCCTCCATCTGAAACAGAATTTCAATGAATGATTATTTACATGTAACCTTACATTTAATCAACTTATATATCTAAACTAGACTTGGAATACCAATATTACCTTCCAAATTACTGGAAAAGTTATCTATAAATAGGCAATAAAAATTCAGCTCAGGTGTGATTATGGCATAAATTGGTTTACTTACAAAGTATTAATAAACATCGTCAATTACTAGTGTAGTAAAATTATAACTGAGTTATGTATTGCACATTCGTTTGAAAGTTAACATACTTTGCTACTTCAGCTGAATGATCGAGTCTTTTTAATTGTTCATCGTGACATGCAATTGTTGCTGAATATCCCAAATCCTGAATAAATTTTGTCATAAATTATAAAAGCAATGATATGAAATTGCAGAAGAATTTAATTTAGATTATTATGTAAATCTTTATCAATTTGATCAGTGCTTCTTACCTCAATTATTTTGATAATATCACGTGGACCTATAAATGTAGGGGTGTATTCAATTTTTGCAGAGGATGCAGCTAATGAAACAGAACATGATTCAACTCCTTTTCTTGCAACGACATGTGATTCAATTCGTTGCGCACAGGTTCCTGATGATAAACCAGTAATCTGAAATTAATAACTTTATTTAAACAATTAGTGATCATAATCAGAATCAAAATTTTTATCACTCAAACAAGTGTAAAACAATGAATCGCTGGAGAATTATCACTTATTAAGATATTGTTTCAAAACACAAAATGACATCACTCTGAAACATACGCAATATTTTAATTGATAGTGCTTGAATTTGCTATAAATATTCCTATTGGTTTGGTATGAATTAAAAGTAATTTGTTGTTACATGGAAAAAATGACACAATATAAGGAACTAAGGCATAAAAACTGGACAAAATCTGAAAAATTCATAACTTTTTTTTCCTACTACACCTATCGTTTATTTTATAAACTATAATTTAGTTCGATTATCATCTCCATGTTATTAGAATCACGATTCTAATAATAACAAAGCAGATTAAAATACACTTAAGAAGGCTTGAATGATTTCTGATCACTGTACCAACCATTAGCTCACGAATTGAATAATTTTGCATGGAACAAAACAATTCAATAAGAAAAATAATATGGAAAATATGATGCAATTGAAATTGATCAGCGCAAAAATTTAAGATAATCAACTAATATAATTGTATTTAGATAATACTTACTAACAAATTTAACACAGAATGATTTCTAAATCCATCATCGATTATCGTAGCTCGATAACCAAGCATACTAATTTCATCAGCTATATGTTCGGCAGCGATTACCAATGAATCATATACCACTTCCGCTTTTGATGACATCAAAGCTACGACCACAGAATGCACACCTGCAATTTCATATTTCTCATAAAATTGTTGTTCTTCAATCTTTGAGCTCTAACTTATTTAATTGATGTGAAAATTCATAAAAGTGTGAGTTAATTTTCGATTAAAATTAAGACTGCAAAAGAAATCAAAGAAAAAAAAAAAAATTTTTTTTTTTGAAATTTTCGCCTATTAATCAATAAAATATTATATTACACAATTAAATCTGTAATTTTTTTTAGTAAATAAAAATTATGAACTAGAAATGCTTCCTTTTAATCAATTTTCCTAACTATCAATATCAAAAAAAATAATAAAACCCTTCAATTTTCCAATATTCCGTTCTATATATGCAACACATGAAGCACATGTCATTCCTTCCACGGAAAATGTTCGTTTCTCGATGGAATCATCGTTTGTCGGTCCAAATTTCGCCCTTTTTTTTCCAATTTTAACCGTGAATTCCTCACTTTTACACATGCCATCATCATTTTTAAGTAAAACTGATGAAGATTGATCAGTTAACTTTTCTTCGGAATAATCTGAAACATAACGCTGGCATAAAAAAGCATGACTATTTTGAAGAGCATAATTTCAGACTTTTCAGTGAAGATTTCAAAAATAAGCTATCTTTGGAATAAAAATCTCATTGATTCCTTTCAAGAATAAACTAGACTTTAACACTTCAGAGAATCTATATTATTTTAAAAGAGTTTCTCAGTTTTCTTCTGCTCCTGTATACATTTTATACATCTAGATAATAGCATACTGAAAAAAATATGCCATATTTTGTGATTTTCGAAATTTTCTGCATAAACTGGCTTTCTGCCTAGTAATATCAAAAAAAAAAACAAGTAGTAAATAGTAAACAACTACACCACTTAAAATTTGATAATTATGTTCGTGGATTTTACGTTAAAAATTTGAAAAACAGGAAAGAAAACCCTGAGTTTGTAGCAGTTGAGCGTCAAAGCCCATATCAGTAACCAATTCAACAACCATCTGAATGTTCCATTTAGAAGTGTCATATACAATTCGCCCTTAAATGATTTAAAAAACTGAATTGGAATCAAAGGAAATAAAAAAAAAATTTAACAAATAAATTTAATTGTGAAGCAAAGAAGCAAAAGCAGTAAATGTTTCATTCAAGATTAGCTTAGCATTTTTGCATACAAAATTTTCACTTGTCAAACATTTTCTAAATTTCCGCAATTAAATGAAGTTAGACTGTTCTTATTTTGAGTTACTTATTACAAAAAATTTTTTATATCGATCTAGAAAATCACAAACTGTAATGAATAACCCTGAGATTTATTAAGTGAAACGGAAATTGATTTTATGCCGTCGTTTCTTCCAATAGTCTCCTCGATATTATTTACGCATGAATGACATGTCATCCCTTTGATTTCAATTATTGCTTCGTGAAATTTCGAGGTTATTGGATTCTTATTCAAATATTTTTCATTATCTGAAAGAGAAAACTTGAACATTTTTCAAGGAAAAAGAAAAAAATTTAGTCACTGATATAAAAACAGAACATAACTTTAAAATATGAGATCAAGAAACCAAACAAAAAAAGAAGGCTGTCAAAAAAAAAAAAAAATGACTTATATATATATATATAAAATTCTTCGTATATAATAATTCTTCGATTTAAATTTACCAGATAAAATTGAAGAAAAAATTTGAGCCAACTTAATATCAAATAAAAAAAGTGTCATTGACCTCATCCATAATTCATTTTATTGTATGATAGGATAAGATATTAAAATTTCCGCAATACAACTAACAATTCATTTCGATGAATTTAATTGGGCAATTACAGAATTTAAACTTAGGACAAATTTTCCAACAAATATGTAGGATTTTACGTATAATGCTATAATGCTACTAGTATTACCGAACATATACGTGTCAAGTATTAGTATTTCACGTATTTTTACACGCATTTCAGCTCTGTATACATTCCGTTCTACCAATAGAATTAAAGTTTGATTCAATTAAAATTCTCTTTAAGAAATATTGAAATTTCGTAACAGAATGCAATAAGAACCTTTTTTGTGATCGTTTGACAAATTTGTTTGACAGATTTCTTCCACTTCACAAACTTTATCCTGAATATTATTCGCTGATGAATGAGATGACATTCCTTCAGCATCAGTTATCACAACTCCTTTATCTGTTTGCTGACTTAAAAAATTAAATAATTTCATATGATCGGCCATCTGAAAAAAAAAAAAAAAATTAGAAATTATTTATTAGCCACTTAAAGTAAGTGAACATTTACGCTATGTATGTAAGTTTTTGAAAAAAAAAAAACAAATGGAAGCAGTTTCGACTTTAAAAAAAAACGTTCCTATCACAATGAAAAAAAAAAAAAAAAAAAAAAACAGCTAACATGTAAGTTAACGTGAAAAGTTTTGGAAGTAATACCAAACGTGTATTGGAACAGATTCTTTATTAACTTCAATCTTAAATCATTGGATAAAAAATAATCGGAAAAATTCCAAAATGATTTATTCAACAAGATATTTCACATCAAAAAAAAAAATTCCATCTCAACAAAACATAAATTATTCATAGATTCAAAAACAGCAAAAAAGTACCATGAAAAGGGTTAAAAAGAACAGAATTTAAAATGGAAAGTTTAAAATTACAAATTTTGATCGCATTTTTTTTTTTTTTTTTTCAATTTCTTTGTGAATTACTGACAAAGGAATCAGCAGAGAGATAAAAGTTCTAAATGAGTTGTAATGAAAAGAAAAACTAGAGCAGGAAGAAAGGAGAACAAAAGAAAATTTGAAACAGAATAATCATTATACAAAGTTGCATAATCTTTTACAACAATCTTTTGTTACAATCAATTATTTATGAATCATATTTATTTGTCTTTTTAAATCTTATCAACAATCTTATCAAGTTTAGTGAAAATTTGAAATAATTTTAATGAAATGAAAACTGATAAAAGTCATGAAAATTGATTAGTGATATGAACGAAGGAAAGAACAAATGATGATATCAATAAAATATAAAATAGAAATTAATGCATATTAATGTAAAATAAAAAGCAAAAGGAAAAAAAAAAGAAAAATGAATTTTTATAGTTTTTATTGATGACATGCAGGTAAAAACCATTGAAAATGACAAAAATCAAAAATTTACCCATCATTTTGTGGTGAAAGTTTCAGAAAGTGAGTAATGCTAAAAACCAGTTCATATATAGCACAATTCAAATAGCTAATTAAAATTGAGATGGAATATAGATATAACCTGAATAAAATGTCTGCTATTAATGAGAGAGAATACTTGAATTTCAAGTTTTTACATTTGATAGAACAAAAAAAGAGTGAAAATGTGAAAATACTTTCTAATAAGAAATAATAAATATTATCAGTGGAAATTACATAATTTTCTCCCACAATCATACGAAAATAAATAGCACATTGAATTAAATATATCGAGAAAAAAAAAAAAAAAAAAAAAAAAAAAAGGAAAAAAAAATTGTAAGTTATGGTTCATTTGAAATAATTGTTATTTCAAATTATAATTGTTAGTCGACATTTTCTCACTTTTAAATTATCTGCAATCAATGACTTAATTTATGGAGTAATCACTACTTTCAAATTATAAATATCGATCTATTTTAAATTATAAGTAAATAAATTCTATGCTGATGAATATAAGCACTTTTGAATGTTACTAAAAACCATCAATTGTTCTAATCTTTCCTTTCTTTTTTCTTTATTAATGACATCAACAACAACAAAAAAAGAAAGAAAGCACTTTCACTGATAAAAAAAAATGAAATGAAATTATTGTTTTTTTATAGCAATTTAAAGTGGTAAATTATATAAAATTGCTGTAAGAAGGAAAATTTTTAGCAAATAATGGATGCCTTTTACTGTACTTTAATAAATTTTTATTCTCAAAAAAAAAAAAAATTTAGAATATCTCTCTCTCTCTCTCTATCTTCTTTTTGGTCAAGAAAGAGAGAGAGAGAGAGGGTGAGAGAGGAAATGTATTTTTTTTAATGGAATAAAACCGGTTATACTTATTACGATATATCAAAAGAATGCTAATGCTATTTCAAGAACTAAAAAAAAAAGAAAAAAAAATGCATCTTAAGTAAATAATATTTTTCTGATTAAGGAGATAAAATGATAGAAGTAAACAAAAAGAATAATTTTTATACTTCTTTCAGGTTCTTTTCTTTTCCTCTCTCCCTCTCTCTCTCTCTCTCTCTCTCAGTCCTTTACGCTTATCAGAAAAGAAGTAGTCTTTCATTTATTCAAGGATTCAATACATAATTGAGAATGGATGCTCTTATATTGTGTGGAAATTATTGATAACTCAAAATGTTTGGTTGTAAATAATTTCAAAGCTCAATCGATTCCAAAAAAAAAAAAAAAAAGTTAATAAAAAGAAGAATAAAAAAAAGAGCTAAATTGAAATGAAGAAAAAAAAAGTTTTTCCGTTCTTTTTTTCTTCAAAAATGGAATTTTTAATTAGAAATTTAATAAATTAAACAATTATGAGAACTAGAAAAATCCCCAGGTTCAATAAAAAAAAAAATAATAAAACTGAAATATGGAAAAATTTTTCAAAACGGCCGCAAAAATTCTGTTATATTTTTGGGCGGACCGCGTTTGTTAATTTCAGTTATTTGCAAGAAGTTTCTCAAATCATAAATGTTTCATTTAATATTTGTAGCTAATAATTATGGGTAAATGCATGGGTTATTTCCCCGAAAATTTCAGGATGATATATTTTCTTGTCGAGAATTGCATTAATGCTGTACTCATCATCGACTAAATAAAATTAGTTGAAATATCCGAATGACAAGTGGTGTTTACAGTGTTAATTTGCAGCAGAATTTATTATTTGATAATGTTAACAATCAGGTATGTTTTCTTGTTTTCTCTTTCTCTCTGTTTTTTGTTTTTTGAAATTGAAAATGTTATATCTAAATTGTTGTTTTCAAAAAAAAAAAAAAAGGAAAAAAAATGAATCGCACATTAAATTATGTATTGTGGATTAAAAAAAAAAAAAATTGTAGTATGTGCCAAATGAAATTTTTGAAAAAAATAAGTTATATATTACATAAGAAAATTTAGCACAACGAATTCATATCATTGTCATTACAATTGATTGGACTTCAAATGATTTATGATTTATGATCGGATGTTACATTAAATTATAGTGTTTGTAATTTTTGATCGGAAAAAAATTTTCTGAATGATCCAATTGTTCGATCATTTGCATAGTTTGATGCTACTGAGTGGGTTATGTTGTGAATTCTTTTGTAATGGTTGTAGTTATTGTGTGGTGGATAATATTGATTGAATTACAATTATGATAGGCTGCATAGCAAAATATTATGAATAAACTTAATTTTCTCTTTGTCAACGGATGAATTATAACTAAGGTTGCGTATTTTTCTTCTTTGCTATTAGATACAGTAATTGCATCTCTGCATATTATAGAATAAATGAATCAGAATTAGAACTCTTTGCTACAATGGCCAGATTTGTATTTCTTTTCCGGCATTTGAAAAAATTTATTTTCACATAATATGAAGTTTTATGATTTATAATTATGGTACTTCTTAGTTTGACCAAACAAAAATGAATGATTCACGAAGTACCATCGAAGAAGGATCAGCAAATGATGATGAGCATATCTATGCAAATGTTCAAGAAATGGAAGAAGAAAGTCGCCGACAAGGACAGCCACCAATTCCAGATTCTGTTGATGAAGCAATTCGCAATGTTGGGAGCGGTTGGCATGAGTATCTCACAGATGCTGGAAGGTTTGATATTCTCATAAATTGTATTTGAAATGATTGAAAGTTTTATGAATAAAATTGTTTTCTTGAGACCAAACTAAATATCATTATTGGTTAGATCAAAAGCATATCGACAAGTGATGTTGAGATCTAGGATGAAATTTCACAAAATTTTATAAATTCTTTTTATTGTTTCCTTGCAGATCGTATTTTTACAATCATGAAACAGGTGATTGTCACTGGAAACCACCACGTTTTCTGAAACCACCTTTGGAAGTTATTGATACGCTAAATGGCTTGAGTAATCAGCAAAATATTCCGCTTCATAGTGAAGCAGAATCTTGTGAAGATATTTCAGGATCATGCTTGGAATCTCATCCAACTATATCTGCTGTTTGTTTTGTGAGTACTTGCTATTACAGGTTACATCATGTATTCTTAGTCATTTTTAAGTGTAAATAACATAAAATTGCATTATTGCATGATTAGTTTAATTTAATTAACTTTTATATTCTTCTGGTAAATGTGTGTTAATCTCGAAATTTTTATATAAATTTAATCTCAAAAAGTGCTGTTTATGCATTTTTTTATTTTATTTTTACAAAATTCTTGAACTTGTTTTTAACTGTAATACTGTAATCATGTAATAATCAGAATAGATTATTTTATATAATTTTTGTTGCTTAGGCAAAACCCGATGTTAATAGCGATGAGAATAGTAAATCAAATGCAGTTTGGTCAACATTAAGTTTACGTAACAAAATTACGGAAAAACGAATGTCGGTGCAAACGATAGCTCAAGAACTTCAAGCTACTGGACATTTATATTCACATAAATCAAACGAGGAAATTGGTATTGATAAGAATATTCATTTAGGTGAATTTCGCTTCAAAAATCTGGAAATAATTTTATGTTGACAACATTCGAATTGAAAAATTACTTTTTTTTTTTCCTTCCGAATTAAAACAATTAAGTATTATTTTCTGATACATCTTGTTGCTGCTTTCGCTATTTGCTGTGTAAGCTATATTCCTGGCGCTTATTTTATTTTCGAAATGAAACATCACTTCCATTTTGCAGTTTCCAAAGGTCTTGGCACTGAACCGTGTTCCAGTAATTATCCTAATCGCCTGCCTTCCAGAAATATTGCGCAGAAATCGATCAGATGTGGAACAGTGGAAAAGGTTTATATTATATTGATAATTGGAGTTGGCAACTGCATAACTACATAAATAATTTTATTTCAATGTTAAGAATAGTTGTGTTCCTTCTTAATGCTTATTTGTTTTAATTTGCATTTTATTCCTACTAATCCTAATCCACATATTTAGTCGCTGATGTAGGAACAGTACTGATAAGATGAAGCACACCTAAATATTTCCAAAAACTTTAAATAAGTCGAAAAAGTATTGCTTTGTAGCAAAAATTAAATTTTTCAA